ATATAATATAAAAAATATGAAAATCGACAAGTTTAGTTATTATGTGTTTTTAAAATATTGTAATAAAAATCTTTGATTATTATAATAATCAAGTAACCGATACAGTATGCACTCACGACGGCGGTTGTCGCCGAACTAACTGAGTGAGTGAGGCAGTCTCTATTTAGTAAAAAATAAATTCATACAAGGCTGCTTAAACACCGAAAATTTCGCCATTCAAACAAAACAAAATTAAACTGCCATTTAAATTTAATGGCTTCTCACATGATAGATGAAGAGTTTTTAAAATAGATTGAGTTGAACAATTGATATTTTCAAAAGTTATTGTGTTTACAAAGCCATGCGCTCTTAATAAATCCACACCATAAGCCACTAAAACCCCTTTTTTATTCATTATATTCTGACAATGTATAATCATTTATATTTCTGACAATGTGCTTTTTATATCATTTATATGTATAATATGATTGCTAGATACGATTACATGCGACAAAACGTTGGAATCTTGATTTTTAGGCTCTAGTAGAACATACCTACGTGCTTTGCGCTTAAGGCATGCAATAAACAAATGATATCTCTTTATAAAAGGAAATGCTAAAATAATAAGTATATGAAGAATTTTATTCAAATCCAAAAATAGTAGATTACGTAATACGTAGAGCAGCATCCTAGATGTGAATTATTATTCTTTCTATAAACGACTGTTTCTGTCACAGGCGATTTATGAAAGATCTTTAATTGCCAGTGTTGTAAAATAATTAAGACATTAGCTAAATGTTACAACTATTAAAACTAGCAAAAATGAATCGTTATGTATATGTTAATGGTGTAAATGTACACTGATGAATTTGATTTCTATAATTCTAGACATTCTCACTTGCCACACATACATTACCATATTAACCAGATGACTATATTACCCTCACATACTTTATTTGGAAACTGAATTATGTGGTATCTACCCAGACGGACGCCTAGGCAAAAAAGGAGTCTTACTACCTAGAACCAACCAACTGTATTTAATAAAAAATGTAGTTTATGTAAATCCTGCAATTACATTTTATTTAATTTTTTTCAGAACTTGGCGATAGAACACCAAACTTATGGAGTCACTACAGTAATACATTTAAAAACTTTCCTATACTTATAGAACGATTCTTAGAAATCTTACAAGATAAGCCAGAAGTTTTGGAGAATAACGCCTTTCAGTTATTTACAATGGTCAAGAATAGTGATAATGCAAATGCTGACTATTCAAAATTTACCCGTAATATAAGAAGTAATAAAAATATAAAGAATACTACAAATTCAAATCAAGATAAGGAATTAAATAACAATTCTCACAAAAAAGAATATATAATCAATGAGGATGATTCCTCAAGAAGAGATAATCAATTAGAACTAACTTCTGCAATAATTATCGAGAAAACACTAATGGTTGAAAAGTTGTTAGAAGAAAGCAACAGTTAAACGAAATTTATTAGCATTGCAATTACACTGTCGTATTGATTTATGTTCTTCACATATTCCTTTTTTGAAATTAAATCAAACTATATCTTTGTATAATAAAATATTTATGTTCTGTTGTAAGATCGTAAGTAAAGAGTTTTCAAATAATATAGATATAATAAAAATGTAACACTTTTAATACTTTTATACTTACTTATTTAGACCCCGTCCATAAATTTTACTTGAAGAAAGCAGTTGATTTGAAGTATTGAATACCTAAATTGTTGTGAGTCAGTACTTACTAAAATGTAAGTCCGAAATAACTACCCAAAAGACTTCTATGGGACAGTATGTTGGTTTGAATTGTTTGGCTAGCTTAGTTCCTAGGAGTATTCATTGTAAGTAATAACTTATAATCAATATATAATTATTTTAATTCAATGCGAGAGTTTAAGTTCCCTTTGCGAAAAATCTTTACCCTTCATTTGGCCCCCCCGACAAATTTTGATACAGGACCCCTCTAAGGCACGCTACTCCACTGGCTACAGCATCCACTTCCTCTGGTGGACTATATGTTCATTTGTCACCCTTATTCTATAAAAAAAAAACATTACAACTGCGAAGAATAATTAGAAATCGTTCTTGAGTGAAGGGTTAAGTCATTCTCTACTGAAGTTGCTAATATAATTGCCTTTCAACAATTAAAATATTGCATGTGCCGGCGGCACTGACGCAGTATATCTCAAGGACATAACAATAACATTTTATGGTTCTCTTTAAAAAGAAGTGTTTATTTCTCCATATTTTTTATAGAATAATGGTGACAAACGAGCACACAGTCCACCTGATGGTAAGTGGTTGCTGTGGCCCATAGACATCTACATATATCCTCGATTACGAATCAAAATGCAGATGCGTTGTCACCCTGTGAGGACTAAGATGGAATGCCTCTTTTCTAGTAAAATGGGTCTCCGGTTTTCTACACTCACCATACGAAACACAGCATCGTTAAGCTGCTATTTTACGCTGGTATTCTGTAAGAGCGTGGTCCTACCCCGGTCAAGCCGACCCATTCGTGCTACAGCTATACCAGTAATTAACTGCAGCATGGCTCTACCACGTAAAAAAAAACTATATTTTAGTTATTTTGTGATAGAGTGAAAAGTAGTAAAGCGTGAAGTGTAAGTAAAATTACATTCTAAAAAGCTTCCAATGCTGGGCACGAGCCTCCTTTGAATTTTAAAAGGATTATGCAATATGTTAAGATAATAACAGTGCAATTTGTGCGTACCTCTTCACCTCTCCCGTTTTTGGTAGAATTTACCATAATCACTACGCTTGGCATGCTGATTGGTGATAGCCGTACCAAACGTCTCTCACCTTTGACTTTGCGACGGGAACGTCGTGGGTTCGGATATTTTACATATTATTGACCTGGTGCCCACTCCATCGATCGGAAGCCATAAGATCTTTCTGGGATTTTCCATAGTCGCCTCTTACGACAACTACAGAACATAATGGAAATGGGGTAATCAATGAGGGCATTCACGACTTTTTCTGCCACCAGGGCGGCGCCACTAGAAAGTGAGTGAAATATTTGACAGATTTCATAATGGGGATGTTAGTTTGTTCGGAAAATGTGAAATTTATTATCTCTTTCTGTTACTATTAGCTATATTTTATTTTAATAAGATTAAAAATAAATAAACCAAACCACAGATATTCATAAAAGTGGAAAAATGAGAAAAGCAATCCACTGACGGATTGTTTTGTGTATTAATATAATACTCTAGAAATTGATAAACTTTTATAAAAAAATCTAACTTCTCAATTAAATTACATTGTCTAACAAAAAAACTTTACTTCAGTGTCAACTAGCGGCATCTGGTGAGCAGAAAATTATTAGCCCTCATTTCCATAAGGTGCCAACACATGGCTGGACCACAGTGGGAACGAAATAAAAATACATCTGTTTTTCATAATATATTTATATTTAATAAAATATGACACTATGGCACTATAATATACAGACTAGATTACACTATCCAGAAGACGAATTGAAAGACGAAGAAGAAGCTAACCCAAGTAAGCTTATACCGAATTGTAGTAAAGCACGAGTTATGTCTGACTTAAGAGTCTGAAACAGTGATACACTTTCTCCTGACTCCCTGTAACCAGGCTGAAATAAAAAAAAATACAATTAGGAAATAACGAAAAGTAATATTCAGTAATGAACTCCAGTTGAGTCCTTAGATAACAATCTTTAGGCGTTTCAAAAGGACTCTTTTATAAAATTTACATCTCCACTTTTAGATTACCTTATACGAGTATGTGATACACTTTTAGATTAACTTATATGTGATATAAGATGTACAAGGGAGTGTGAGATGGAATGCGCACGAGTTTTCTCCTAAGAGACAATCCCACCTGCATATCCACCCGTTTAACTGACAGACGAGGATCTGGTAAGTGCAAAACACATTCAAAATGCCGATAACTAAACACAGGTGATAAGTTGCAGCATTACGTGTGCAGCGAGATCATTGACCAATTAAAAAACAAAAACCTATTTAGCACCTACGAAAAAAATAAAACGACATAAAAATAATTAGATTAAGAAAAAGGTTATACTTAAAATGTAATTGAATTTATAACATATAAATGAAACGCAATATTACTCGAATATTTTAATAATTCTATAAACTAATATAAGTGACTAATATAAGTAATATAAGGAAATCCATAAGTTATAGGTACATAGATACCATATTACTACTATAAACTTGTAAGGACATAATATAGGTATATTTTCATAAAATTGAACAAGGTTCATTAGAAGTTACGTATGTCACTTAGTCATGTTAACTTCGATCCAGATTCCAGATCCAAATTTTTAAGCAAAAACGTTTAAAAAATAGGAAAAACCTAATGTACAAAGTTTATGTATATAAGTTTTGTTTAAAAGTTTATGTAGCTTTTCTATCGCCGGATTTTTCAAGCTAACTAAACGAAATGTCAAAAATTAAGTCGCTACAGAACTGATGCCCAAATACTCAGACGCTGCTCCATTTTAGGAAGCCATTAAGTCTCATGCTGTCTCTATCACTCTTTGCTGTGACACAACGAGACTTGACATTTTAAAATTGAGTATCGTTTCGTACTTGGTCATTACTTAACTAAATGCCATAATTAACTATAATCAGCAACGCTGAAGGCACGTATCAAAATTTTTATTTAAACCCCAAAATAATAGATTCACAACCGGATATATTAACCTATGTAGGTATATTCATTACTCTTTCTATTTCCGGCTGTTTCTGTGCAATTAAAGGCGATATATAAAATATCTACTACAAATATTATAAAAACTATCAAAATTAATCATCATTGTGCATGTGAGTTGGTGAATTTTATTTCCTTATTTCTAAGCGTTCTCACTTGTCACTTAGAAACATCACAATGTTATTTTAATCGAGGAAAAGAAATTTGCATAAATTTCATTAACCACGAGTCCATAATAATATTTCATATATGTACAAAGATTTTAATCGTCACCATGGGTGAGAACTGCCACCTGAACTTGATTTAGACATATCACCCAACAAAGACATAAGTAAACTAGCTAAAAATCCCGCGGAATCCTTTTCTCCATTTTCTTCAGCGTTTGCATCCGGGTCACCGCCCTGCAAAATAACACTGTGGCATCAAATATTGAGTTACATTTAAAATATAAGTAGATATAAATAACGATAAATAAAACTGAGTAGATCCGTGTGGAGGCGGAGCAATATATTTCACCTCGTAGGTATCATAAAAAGCTACCATGGAAAATGCCAGAAAGATCAAATGGTTTCTGACAGATGGATTTACGTCAGACATTAAAAATTCAGACCTGCGACGGAGGCATCGCCGTTCAGAGGTGCGTACTCAATCAATACACAATTCAATTGCCAAGCTGGACGGGTAAGGCTAAACTTCCCTGCAACTAGACATTCTCATGTCTAACAGAAGGCTTTAGAGGCTGATGTTGGAGAGGGAGAAGATCAAGTTCTAATATTTATAGCACTGTCATAACTAATGCTAGAGACACCGCGTAACGTCGGTACAATCGTACTGAGAATTTCTTCTTTTGTAATTTATTTATTCACTAGCTGTTACCCGCGACTTCGCCCGCGTGTTTTTTTTGCGCAGAACCCTAAAATAAAAGCAGCATACGTAAGTTACTCCTTATAACATCAGTTATCTGCCTGTGAAAGTTCCATCCAAATCGGTTCACAGGTTGATGCGTGTTCAGACAGACGACGTGTGTGCTAATTATAATATATATATATATATATATATATATATATATATATATATATTATATATATATATATATATATATATAAATATATACTAGCTGACCAGGCAGACGTTCTGCCCTTTCCAACGACCCTTCGTATAAAAATTCTTAAATTCGCAATAACAACTTTAGAGGGTCATTTGGCGGGATAAAAACTATCCTATCTCTCAAGATGGACCAAACTGCACACAGTGTGCAAAATTTCATTGAAATCAGTTCAGTAGTTTAGGAGTTCATCACGTACAAACAATGTGACACGTAATTTTTATATATAAAGATAATAAATAAAACTCTTAGTTTTATTATAGTATAGATTACAGACTATCAAAATCAATAATCCACTGCTAAACGGAAGCCTATCTCCGTCATAAATTACAGGGGATTTTGTCTTCCTTTGACTTTTGATCGATTTGGAGAAAATGTTTTGATTAGGTACTTTAAAATGACGGTTATGTAACAAAAAAAAAATAAACATTCACAGGCAATAAATAATAGGTTAGCTACTTACAGCACTTGTGCCTTTCACTAGTTTTGAAAGGAAATTTCCGAAGAAAGCGCCATTATTTTTCTGTAATGAAACATTTGTTTTGATATATGTCATAAATACAGAGATAACGAACTTTGTAACAGAACATACCGCTCCTCCGCCCGTTATTGTATCCAATGAAGTTAAAAGGTAACTAGCGATAACTGACCCCGGATTTTCTTCGCCTTCTGACTGTGAAAGAACATTTTAAATACACCTTAAACACACGACTATTAACTGTTTGTCTGTATTATGTCAAATTTTCGATAAATTCTACATACCAACAGTCCAGCAAACAATCCAATTCCAGATGCAATAAGACTATTTAAATCAATGCCATCGCCCTGTAAAATCAAATCAAATTAATTCAATTTTCAAGGCAGTTTTTAAAGGTATATGTCACGGCTAAAAGCCGAAATGCGGTTGCACCTAGTCTAACCAGACGATTGTGGTAGTTAATTTATGAATATACCTAGTATTCGATTTATTAATGGCTTAAACTAACTTTGACCAATTGTTTGCACGAATATATATATATATATATATATAGTAATATCAGCGTGAGTCAAGGTGCGGTAGCATCGCGACTCCAAAGCCGCGGGCATTTATATTAGGCAATACACACCATGACTAAATCGAATACATTTATGTTTAGCCAAGCGCATTTGGTCTAGTGTGGCCGCAATACTTCGACTTTTGGCCTACATTACATTACCTACTTACTAATACTTACACTCAGATTTACTACTATTCCACTGACTGTCGCCAAAAGAGAACCTAAATCTGACTGCCCATTCTCCTAAAATCAAAATAATATTAGATGAAACTGCTACGTTTGATTATTGCCGTATGCAGATGACAATAAACAACTTACTCCGCCACTTAGACCTGCTAAGAGACCTAAAATCCCCCCTCCTTCACCATCACCGCCTCCGGGGGGCTCGTCGAAATCATAATCTGAATTGTTGTCGTTATCTCCATCCGAAGCTAAGTTAGGAGCTGAGTCCTGATTGTTTTCAACGCTTTCTTCTTGAGCCTTGTCATCTTCCGATTCACGAGACTTACTGTCAGAATTTATAGAGGCATTTATATCGTCGTTCTGTTGCATTTGTGATGGTGGATTTAAAACAGATATGAAGCCTATTTTATTATCATCGTCATCCACAAACTGTCGACGTAGTGGTAATGCAAACAATTGGTTTCGCGAACGATTTGTATCCAATAAATTACATGCTACCTGTAATAAAAATATTTTAAGTAGTTATGTGACAAATTAAGCAGTCAAATCTATTTTATATAAATGTTAGAAAAAACAACATAAAATTTACTTACTTTGAATATTTAAAACCTGATACTGCGGTCCATCACGCAATTCATCACACACTATATCGACAAAACGTGCATTAATAAAGAAAGTTGTGAATTACCGTTAGTTTTAGTAAATCAGTTAATCGAAACATAGGTATAATAGTAATAAAAATAATAGGTAAACATAAATAAGTACATGTGCAAAATTTGTTTTTGTTATAAATAAAAGAATGTGCAAAAGTACATAGATTACACAAACAATCATTTTTTTTTAATTAGGATTAAAGTCCAGGAGTTATAGTAAAAAATTTTTATTAGAGGATAGACTAATAAAATAAATCAAATATTTAACTTACACTGGAGGAACTTGAACCAGGGAACAGGGCAGGCAATAATTTCAAAAGACTGAATATGTTGCTACCACCACCACCATTTGATCTAGATGCTGGTTCACCAAAGTCATCAAAATCATCATCGTCGTCGTCGTCATCATCAAAAGAACTTTGATTGTCTAATATAACTGTGTCTTTAGTAGACGTCGATGAAATTAAATTTTCAGTATTCTTTTCGAGATTATTCTAAAAGAAAACATGATATTAATTAAAGTGAAAATGAGCCATCACAGATCTGGTGAGCAAACTAAGTTCGATCCTAGCAATAAATTAAATTGCTAATGTCTATTTAAAGTATTGATAAACGTGCTCGGCGCTAATGGATTGGGTGTTAAAACATAGTTAAATAATAAAAGCAACATGAAGATCAAATGCATGTAGGGGGAAAATAATTGACAAGGGTATGCTGTGAAGTGTGGCAACACAACACACATTGAGGCGGCACTAGTAGCATAAGTTGTTGCGAACCTGTTATCGGGCAGAATTTTTGGAAATTTGGGGAATGTGAGGGCCAATAAAGCCCTCCCTATATCCCTCTCTCCAACTTTCAAAAATCTATGTTAGAAGAAAATATATTTTATTTAAAACGTAGCAGACAGTTTTTCTAAATTTGTGAGATTAAGTTTGAAATAACTTTTTCTACGTGGTAGAGCCATGCTTCAGCTATATTATGGTTGTAGCACGAATGGGTCGGCTCGGCCGGGGAAGGACCACGCTCTCACAGAAAACCAGCGTAAAATAGCAGCTTAACGCTGCTGTGTTTCGTATGGTGAGTGTAGAAAACCGGAGACCCTTTTTACTGGCAAAGAGGCATTCCATCTTAGTCCTCACGGGTGACAACGCATCTGCATCTTGAGTCTTTATTGAGGATAGATGTAGATGTCTATGGGTCACAGTAACCACTTACCATCAGGTGGACTGTGTGCTCGTTTGTCACCCGATCCTATAAAAAAAAAAACTTATCATCATCATCATCATGAGGTAGTCTACTGTTAGACTACCTTTGGCATAGGTGTCTGACACGGTAGGGCACTCAGCCCTGTCTCAAGCTGTACGTACCCAGTTGATGTCTGCTTCTCCTCTTTATTTAGGTACATTACCTTTGCCAAAACGCGCTCACACGTCTTCTTTTTACGACAAAATGGCGTTTCGCCGGGGCAAAGACGATTTACTCCAACAATCGTCACTTTAGCGTATTAGATTATTTGTGAGAATTTTGGTCTTTCAAAATCATTAGAATGATGGATTACAACTGCAGTCTATAGCTGCCTAAAGCCTAAATTACCACGTATTAATAACAACGTTATATAGACTACAAATATATTACAACTTATGAAAATAATACCTATAATAGTAAAGTGTTTAAGATAACTTAATAACATCGAACTTAGTCACAACGATGTCGATTGAAATTACACAATAAGTTCATTCACTGCTAATTTTTTCATCAACTGGTAATATATTTTTAATATTCCACTTACCGAATTCTCAAAATCGTCGATGTCTCTTCTCAATCGATGTACAGGTGTAGGAGCACATAGAGCATTTACTAGAAGAGAAAATACCACTATTGCTGATAAAAAGCGTCGCCTCTCCATGTTGTTACTGTAATACACATTACACATTACTGACGAATATGGCAATAAATAAAGTACTACCAACTTGGCTAACGGTTTCTTTTTCTTTAATATTTGCTAATGAGGAATGCCATTAATTAATAGTTTTTTAACCATAAAATATTGCAACATAAAAAATGTACTGATTGCTTAACATACTCGCAATATCTGGAAGCCCTATCAAAAATATTCTGTATTGGCGTAATGCGCGCAAAAGGAGTATATCTATTAACGCCATCATGTGTTTGAAATTATATACAGGCTGTTTATAAAATAAAATTGTAAAAAAAATTGAAATAATTTTTATTTGCAGCAATTCTTTAACATTTAATTTGCAGTCAACAATTTAATTTCGCTTATTCTTTGTTTTTTACATATTATGTTAATATGAAACTAGAAGCCTGAGAGTTACATGTTTATAAATAATTATTTAAATAATGTCCATATTTAACATTTGGTGACAACATTCAATCGTATCAAACAATTTATATAATTATTATAATGTTGAAAGTATGTGTACAATATATACAATATTTAAAAACCACCAGCAACGACCATTTGAACAAAAATCACTAATTATTGGTCTTAGATTATAGGTGTCTCATTACTTTGAATGTATATAATACCTTCACTATATCCTTGCATGCCTCCGATCTTATCATAAAACGTTACATCGGATACGGGTGGATCGGGAGGTCGGTAGAGTGATTGACTCTATATTGTGGTTGGTGTTAGAGATCCGCCTCAAAGATCTAAATAGGTACCATTCACTCCCTAACACATTTTTACCACTGAATTGGAATACATCCACTTTTGTATTTAGTTTGGAGAATAAGTGTGTGAGCCCTCATGTTAAGCACTTATTACATGCTTTTTTATTAGGAATGGTTGCAGTGGCCAGTTATCAGCGTGTACGCTGTAGGCACGTTTGTCAAACGAATGTAATAAAACGGCGCATTGATTACGCCAGAATCTCTGCTTCTGGTTTTTGTCCTTGCTCAATAAAATTTACAATTACATAAGTATGTGTGGGTTTTGCTCGATTTTTAAAGTAGCTCCCGATTTTTAAAGTTCGTAGCTTAGCCAAAATGTAACTCACCTCGGTAAGAAATGTGTGTTAAATGGAAACGATCTTTGTCCAGTTTATTACTAAGTATTATATGCCTTGTTCCAACTTTTTATTTACTTTTCTGCCAAGTTTTAATTGCATACAAACTTTCACTTTGAAAATATTAATATATTGATAAGTTAAAAAAATATTTGTAAAAATATGGTAATAAGATTCACCATAGAAGCAGAGTTATCGACGTACCCTGACAAAGATGATTCATAATACATATATTTGTTTTTCTTAATTTATATTTCTTGTTATTATTAAAATAAATATTTTGTAAGTTACAGTCAAAACTAGTTTATTTATCGCATAATAATACTACACAATTTTAAGCATTAACTATTAAGCAATAGTTAATGCTTATAATTAATGCTGTTAATTTAAGTTATATAACAATACTAAACGGTTAAAGGTCATTTCTTTTGACGTCCAGATAGATAATTTTTCAACACTGATTCGCAAAAAAACTGCGTCACTGATGCACAGGGTTCGTGGGAGCGCCAACAGCATTCTTAACGTAATTAGCGAGAAACCCGATTGTACTTTTTTGAGGCACTGGATGCATGTTCATGTCCATGTATCCGTTGCCTCGGACAGGCAACCCAGATATATTAAGTAATTTTTAATTAATTTTACTATCTACTTTTAACAAATTATTGTCTGCAATAAATGATTAATTATTATCATTATATCATTAATATAAGTTATGTTTATGATTTTGTTAATATATTATAAAGTAGGGTCTGTTGTGTTACGTTTACATTGATTTATATTATTTTATTAATATTTAATAATTATTGTATTTTCAATATTATTATGAATATTTATGCATTTGATATATTAATTTTAGTAATGAGTAATAATTTTAGTATTAGAATTTACTTGAATGAATATAATATTACCCTATGATCCTTGCTGGTCGAAATAAATAAATAAATAAATAAAACTAGGTCTGATATGCCGGTTACCTGTGAAATCATTAGCTTCTCAACTTTGTAGCATATGTAAGATTATTTATTTGATTTTATTACTCCCTATAATAAAAATTGTGTTGTTACACAATTTTTATTATAGTGCCGTGTCAAAAGCTGCTTAAAGCGAAATAAAGTGAAAAGTAAAGTTAAATCCTTTATAGGTCCCCGTGCTGGGCACAGACCTCTCAGTATACAGCACCCTTACATTTACTGATTATTCATTGTTTCACTTTTATATTTTTTAGGGTTTCGTACCCAAAGGGTACAAACGGGACCCTATGTTAACCCTCCGCTGTCCGTTCGTCCGTCCGTCTTTTTTTTATAGAATAATTGTAACAAACGAGCACACAGTCCAACTGATGCTAAGTGGTTGCTGTGGCCCATAGACATCTACATCTATCTTCGTTTGTGAATTAAAATGCAGATGCGTTGTCAGCCATGAGGACTAAGATAGACGGCCCCTTTTTCAGTAAAAAGGGTCACCGGTTCTCTACTTTCACCTTACGAAACACAGCAGCATTAAGCTGCTATTTTACGCTGGTATTCTTTAAGAGCGTGGTCCTTCCCCGGTCGAGTCGACCCATTCGTGCTACAACTATACTATTAATATAGCTGCAGCATGGCTCTACTACGTAAAAAAAGTCTGTCTGTCAGCAGACTGTATCTTGTGATCTGTTATAAGTAGACAGATGAAATTTTCACAGAACATGTATTTCTATTGCCGCTATAACAACAAATAATAAAAATTAAAATAAATTAAATATTAAAAGGGGCCCCCCTACTTGAAACGTGTATTATGATAGTACGGAATCCTTCATGCGTGAGTCCAACTCGCACTTGGCCGGTTATTATATTTTGTGTCAAAATTAGTTTTTTTTTAGTTTCTTTGTTATACATTTTTGTTATTTAGTTTTACTGATCTGTATATTGTCACAGTAAGATAGTTAAGGCCGTGATATAGTTGTATCCCTGGAGCTTATATCCATTGTAGTTTGTTTGTAATTTGTTAGTCAAAACAACTTTTGACTTATTTTTTTTATTTATAAAATTATAAAGTTTAATTATTTCAATATTACATTTTATATCGTTATAATGTACGTGGCTTCCTTAGTCAGCCAGCCGCACCTTACACTAGTCAAAAAAGGAACAACAACACAACAGGAACTTAAGATCCAATGTCAATGTCACGAAATTTGTTCCTCCCATACATTCAATTTACAATTATACTATAACTAGTAAGATAGTTATGAACCGCTTTCATATAACTATATTACGGTATATAGCTATATCAATAAGGATACGTACGTATATCAATAAGGTCACGGCTTTAACTATATTCCTGCGACATATTCAACTTTCGATATTAGCGTGAGAAGCATGGGCTGAAAAGTATTTGGCTTGACAATGAAAACATGATATTTAAGACCAAAAAAAATTTTTTTATTGGATAGGGTGACAAACGAGCATACAGTCCACCTGATGGTAAGTGGTTTCTGTGGCCCATTGACATCTACATTTATGCTCAATAAAGAATCATAATGCAGATGCGTCGTCATCTGACTAAGATGGAATGCCTCTTTTCCAGTAAAATGGGTCTCCGTTTCTCTACACTCACCAAACGAAACACAGCAGTGTCAAGCTGCCATTTTACGCCGGGATTATGTGAGAACGTGATCTTTCCCGGTCGAGCCGACCCATTCATACTACAACTATACTACTAATATAGCTGCGGCATGGCTCTACCACTACTACATCTGTACTATATTTTATTAAATAATTTTATTCTTCGACATAAACTCCTTCTAGAGTAATCCACTTAGTGTAACGATCTTTCAATGCCTTTCTTATAGTGGTTCGCGTCAAGTCCCTCAAAATAGGCATTTGTGTCATACTCGAGCTCCTCATTTGAATAAAATCTCTTCCCGGTGAGCCGGGAAACAGGCTGGGGGCTAAATCAGGCGAATACGGTGGGTGTTTAGCTACTTCGTAACGTAATTTCTTCAACTTATCGGTGGTATCGCGAGTAGAATGAGCTGGAACGTTGGCTTGGTGAAACAAGATTTGTTTTTCTTGCTTAATGAGGTCGCTTAGACTTGATTTCGTTATACCATTGATCCAATAATGCACAGTAATATTTTTTGTTGATTGTTTTTCCACGATGAAGATAGTTAATGAAGATTATATGCGCATCCCATAAAAATACTGGCTAGAGACTTGCCAACTGATTGTTGCGTCTTCGGGCGCTTACTACGGCTTTCACCAGGCAACAACCATTCACCTGCTGATTGGACTCAGGCGTGTAGTGATAAATCCATGTTTCATCCATTGTCACAAATCGTCCCAAAAATTCGATGAAAAAAGTGTATGTTTTTGTTGTGAAATTTATGTATATAAACTGCCCCCACGATACAGGAGAATATCCTAGTGTAGTGCAGTGATGACTTACAGACCTAACAAACTGAAGCGTGGGCCTTTCGCTCCTGTCCGTATGAGGAAGCTCAAAGTCACTTAATGTGCGGTGGAAAGAATTATGCTCGAAATTTCTCTGCAGAATAAAATCCGTAACGAAAAAAAAAGATTAAAACTGACATAAAACAAAGGATCAGTAAGCTGACGCCGTAATGGGCCGGCTATATAGCACGGAGAAGTGACACGTTTACGAGGTAGAGCCATGCTGCAGCTATATTAAATGTTTTGTATCACGAATGTAGCACGAATGGGTCGGCTCGACCGGAGAAGGACCACGCTTCACAGAATACTAATGATATGGAGCTCTAATCTTCAGTGGCTGGGCGCTTCCTTTAAAAGTATTAAGGCTCGCTGGTACCAATTTAATAGTTCAACCGAATTTTAGTTAGCGGTTCTGATAAACCACATAAATTCATGAGGGTAAA